TTTTTCTGGACACTGTTTATTTTCTGTTAATAAAAGCCTCTCCGAGGCCTGACGCCACACCCACTGTGTCTGTCGTTTGCTCCTCCCGCGACAACACCCATTAACGTAAACTACGCCAGAGCGCATACACACCTCACCACCGGAAGCCGTGTGAGCACCCAAAGACAGTTGGACATAGTGGTGTATTAGAAGTAAAAAATGATATAAATACTGTTCGGTTTCTCGCACAAACCGATCGTTTCGTGTCTTAGGACATCAATGTGTCGTCACGAGCCGCATCAACACTACTGCTGTTCCTGAAACCACGCCTTCTTTCTTTGCGTGATCATTTGGGCGCATTATGCAAATATTTCCACATGGTGATGTAGATATGTGGGGGCGTGTTAGAATGAGCCGTTTTAGGGGGGCGTGGCAGAGTCTTAAATTTGATAAAGAATATCTCTTTGGTTTTGAGACTTTAGTCTTTGCAACTTCAGGGATCTTATCTATGCACAATCAGCTTGTAACACTCCAAAGAGAAAGGAAAACTTGAAATCGCATCATATGACCCCTTTAAAATCTTCATGCATGCAGTACTAATTCTTATCTTTTTTGCCAACTGAACAGGCCCTTGGCTTAGATCCTAAAGATGATAACTATGTGCTAAACGTAGTTGGTATTTTTGGTGGATTTTACATTTTGTTCTTCATTGAACGAGTTTTAAAGATGGTACTGAAAGCAGATACAGAGGTAAGAGCTTGTACATGTGGACATTATTCATTAGAACAGATCAAGCTGTTTGCAGGCCTAATTCAATGGTTCACCTCCACTGCAGCTGGGACACAGTCATTTCCCTCCCCTGCAGTCAGCTGATGTCACCATCACCACCTTTAGCAATGACGTTGTCATAAACAACATCAGCGGTGACATCATCACAAACAACACCAATCATGAGATAAACTCTATCAATGAAAAGTCCAACAACCCAAGTGAGAGTCCAGCTGTTGAACAGGTAATACAGATAATTCATATGTAATTATATACACACACAAAAAATAAACACTGCAATTTCCCTGTTAGCACCCAGATGTTTACCAGATCCTCCAGGAAATTTGCATGATTTCCTGAAGTAGTGAAAGCACAATAAATATTAGATTAAAGATTAATGATTTACAGAAACACATTATTGATCTTGCATGTGGGCATGTGCTCATCTGCAGTTTGTTGACTTTGTCTCCTTCAGTTCTCTCAGAAATGTTAATTCACCATCTAATGATATTTAAACTATAAGGCAGTCCACACAGTTAAAGCATTTTTGTGTTTCACCAGTTTTTTTCTACTAATTGTTTTTCAATGCAAACATCCACTAGACTGCACATACAGTATGTCAGAATATAATTTTAAATACCACAATTGTGACTATATTTCTTGTAATTGTGACTTTATATGTCACAATTGTAGCTTTAGCTATATCTTGTGACTATCTGACAGTGGGACTTTATTTAACATTTGTCTTACATTATTTTTTACTCTTAAGTAGAAACATGTTTCCATTCTAGACTGGCATCTTTGACCAATGCGCCCCTGCATTTTTAGCATAATTTGAATGAGTGCCTTATTTGAAAGGTGCAATTTCAAGCTAAAAAAAAAAGTTAACCTATTGTATAAAATCTGTTCTTTTCTGTTCTTCAACATTATCAGCCAATCACACAGAATGTGTTTTTGTGTTTAAAAATGTGAGACGCAGTGCAGTGGAGTTCTAGAGTGGAGTTCTAAAAAATAATCTAGAGATGTGTTTTTCTAAAAGTTCACACAGAACTTGAGCTTAAAAAGACAAACTTAAAAAGAAAAAAACAGTGTTCACCTCTGGTGTCCTTTTTTTATGGCAACTTGCGAATGACGCCGCATTCCAAAAACGGAAAAAAAAAAAAAAAAAGCCACAAGGTATAAAGGCATGTTTTTAAAAAGTTTGTAAAAAAAAAAAAAAATTTCTTTCATCATCTCGTGTTCGAGATCCACCTATGGGAAGGGCATCTGTACCTGACCTCTGCAGAAGCATCCAATTGCACCAAGTCTGGCTAGACCGACAGAAGCGTGCATCCAGTGCTCGGTGAGGCCCACCCCCTTCCCTGAGAGCATATAAGGCCTGCATGCACTGCTGTTCTCCAGTTTCTCCAGTAACAGGGAAACTGTTACAAGTTGACACACAGCTTGGTTGAATTTTAAACTGCCCACTTGCGTGTCTTCAAGAGGACATATAGCCAGATCAGCCTCCGCCAGACGTGACAGTCTTTTATTCAGCCTTAGGTTAGTGGTGTTCGCATCCTGGGCATCCCGGGGCGCAGTGTCTCTTGACTGGGCTGACCAGCCCAATCCGGCGTTCCCCGATGAGGATCTTCGCGGGCAACCTCCCGTTTGCTGATGAATAATGAACCGGCCGGTTCCAGCTGTGATGACGACGCGGGCCTTCTCGGGGTCTCAGAGGATGAGGAGGCCATCCCCCCCTCTGTCATTCTCCAATGCCCACCCATGGCCCGAAGTGCTGCTGTATGCTTTTCTTCCCCTGTGCTTGATAATTCCCACACTAGCCAGGGTGAGAGAGCAGGGCCTGTCTCTCCTTCTGATAGCACCCAGGTGGCCCAAAGCACTGTGGCTGGCAGAGATTATCCCTCTGTTATATGCCCAGCCGTGACGCCTCCCCCTCCGCACAGACGTATTGCCTCAAGCGATCGGGGAGATTTATCACCCACACCCAGACAGAGTGGCTCTCTGGGCCTTGCCCATGAGAGGACAAACTTAAACGCACTAGGGCTTCCCCCTCGTGTGGTTGCTACTATACAGAATGCCAGAGCTGTTTCTACACAGCCCTTATATGGTTGTAAGTGGCAAGTGTTTGAAGGGTGGTGTGATGGGCATGGTCTCACATCATATCGGTGCTCGGTTCCTGATGTTTCTTACAAGACCTTATGGATAAAGGCAGGTCCTTTTCTACAATTAAGGTCTACCCGGCTATTTCTGCCTGTCATGTGGGCTTTGAGTGCTCAACGGTCGGGCAGTATCCTCTAATCTGCAGATTTATGAAGAGTGCCTGTCGTTCCTTGCCAGTCATCAGGAGAACTGTTCCTGAATAGGACCTCTCCGTGGTGCTGGAGGCTCTGTCGCAATATCCTTTTGAGCCCCTGGGAAGTATTTCCTTAAAGGTGCTGTTCCCTAAGACGGCTTTGCTCTTGGCCTTGGCATCAGCTAAACGTTTCAGTGAGCTACATGCACTCTCGGTGCATTCCTCCTGCACTAAATTCTCTCTTAGTGGAGATAAGATTTTCATTAAGCCTAATCCAGCTTTTATGCCTAAATGCTTCTCTGCGTTCACATCGGAGTTGTTGGAGCTGTCCGCTTTTCACCCTCCTCCTTTTTCCTCCACAGAGGATCAGAGGCTGAATGCTCTGTGTCCTGTTCGTGAATTACGGACATATATGACCAGGACCAGTGCTTTTTAGAAGAGTGACCAGCTCTTTATTTCATGGGCGCCCCCTCACAGGGGGAGTCCCATATCTAAGCAACCCCTCTCACATTGGCTTTTGGAGGCTATAGCTCTGGCATATGAATCGAAGGGAGTGCAGCCCCAGGAGACATCAGAGCTCATTCTACAAGGGGCTTAGCCGCCTCTTGGGCTCTGTTCAGGGAAGTGTCACTGCAGGATATCTGCTCGGCTGCCAGCTGGGCTTTTCCCCCCACGTTTGTGCGTTACTACCGATTGGATGTCACCAAAACCTTTGTAGCATTGTAGCAAGGAACAGGTCAGGCCACGCACATTCATGTCACCAAGCATGCATTTATATTCCTGCCTGGGTGTTTATATATGTGTTGCTGGGTTTATTTTAATTTGTGTATGCCTCATACATGTTTCATGTCCTGCTTGCATACAGCAGTTATGTGTGCGTGTCAGGGCTGCCAGGTGTATGATTATGGGACGTGTCAGGCACTGCCTCCTTGGGGTGACGTCCTTCTCTGGCTTACAGAACCTCACTGTGAGTGTATTGGGCAATTGGGGAGCTGTCCATGTCCTTCCCATAGGTGGATCCCGAACACAAGATGATGAAAGAGAACAATAGGTTACTGTCGTAACCCCGGTTCTCTGAAACATTGAGTGGAGAGATCCACAAGCTTTGCCCCGCTTGCCGCACAAGAAGCGAATATACTTACTGGAGAACAGCAGCGCATGCAGGCCTTATATGCTCCCAGGTAAGGGGGTGGGCCTTACCGAGCATTGGTTGCGCGCTTCTGTCTGTCTAGCCAGATTCTGTTTCTGCAGAGGTCAGGTATGGATGCCCTTCCCATAGGTGGATTTCTCCACTTGATGTTTCAGAGAACCGGGGTTACGACAGTAACCTATTGTTCTGTGTGAATGGCCTCTAACAGTGTCTCCTCTCTGCACAGAATGCATGTGTGTTATTAACTTGTCGCTGGCTGAAAGGGGATGGAATGTCTAATATAAAGACTGTGGCGTGGATGATCACTGTTAGTGATGCTGTGCATAACTTCATAGACGGTCTGGCCATCGGAGCGTCATTCACACTTACTGGAGAACAGCAGCGCATGCAGGCCTTATATGCTCTCAGGTAAGGGGGTGGGCCTTACCAAGCATTGGTTGCGCGCTTCTGTCTGTCTAGCCAGACTCTGTTTCTGCAGAGGTCAGGTATGGATGCCCTTCCCATAGGTGGATCTCTCCACTTGATGTTTCAGAGAACCGGGGTTACGACAGTAACCTATTGTTCTGTGTGAATGGCCTCTAACAGTGTCTCCTCTCTGCACAGAATGCATGTGTGTTATTAACTTGTCGCTGGCTGAAAGGGGATGGAATGTCTAATATAAAGACTGTGGCGTGGATGATCACTGTTAGTGATGCTGTGCATAACTTCATAGACGGTCTGGCCATCGGAGCGTCATTCACACTCTCTCTACTCACCGGCTTCAGCACCTCTATTGCAATCTTCTGTGAAGAGTTCCCTCATGAGCTGGGTAAAACACAGACATAGAGACTTATCATCAAAATATCATTTATTTTTTAAAGTCTAAATTTTTTCTCTGTCTCTCTGTAGGTGATTTTGTCATGCTGTTGAACTCGGGCATGAGTGTTGGTCAGGCTGCGTGTTTTAATTTGCTGTCAGCGATGTGCTGTTATCTCGGTCTTGCATTGGGGATCCTGCTGGGCAGTAGTTTTGCTCCAAATGCTATCTTTGCCATTGCTGGTGGAATGTTCCTCTATATCTCCCTTGCAGACATGGTAAGACATGTTCTTACTGTGGTAAATGTAAAAATGATTTGCAGTAACGACTGTCTGAATGTACATTATCCCACTTGGCATAAAACATGGCCATGAAAAATTTATTTCATTTTAAATTATTTTATAACCTAACTTGTATTATAACGTAAAGATTCTGCTAAGAAAAGAATAGTAAATTACATTAAACAAAACAGCTGGTGTCATGATAAATCGGGTCTTCCCTAGAAATCGGGTCTCCATTGGCTTTAAAGAACTTTTAATGGGTACTCTCTTTCATGCCTTACTACAGTTTCTACATAATCGCAACATGTTATGATGCATGTCATTTGAACTACGTTATAATGACCATTAATGTCTGTTTAAGTTTAGTCGTAGTCTTTAAAATAATGTGTTAAAGTAAGTGTAAAATAATGCGTTTATTTTTATTGTTGTTTTTGTTGTTCTTAATTGTTATTGTTAACAGTTAAATGTAAAATGTAAGGTCAAAGATAATTACACTATGTCCCATTTGTTTTTTAATGCATTATGTAGGAATTATACATATTTTAAATTATTATAGTTTGTGTGTACACACAACCAGTTGGAGACACCAGATTTAGAGAGAGGACCCAATTTGTCACCACCTGGCCTAGCAATAAAGCAAACATAGCAACAATATTACAGTAATATTAAAATCATCTAAGATCACTTACACTACAAACACTACTAACTGAGATGAAAGATGCTGCCATTTGCGTAAAAAAAAAGTTACCTGATTGACCAATCAGAATCAAGTATTCCAGAGAGTTGTGTAAACACTTTCTTTAAATTTCTAATTACAATGTTTGCTGTTTTTCAAGTTCCCAGAGATGAACAGTATCATGGCAACACATACCAAAGGTTATCAAGGAAGGGTTGTGTTCTTCCTGATCCAAAATGCTGGGCTACTCACCGGATTCTCTGTCATTTTGCTTATTACCCTGTTTGCTGGAGATATCAGTCTGGGGTAGAACAAAAGAAACGAATGAAAACGAAGAGAAACAAGGAACAATTGTTTTCAGTGCCAGAAACCAAACACTTGAGACAGACACTGTTGGTTTTTCTCTTTGTATGTTAGACTTTTACTGTATAACACAATCATATCCTGGAAAACATGATTTTTGTAAAGTTGTTTAATAAGATTTTGTTGTTGTTGTTCTGATGTGAGTGTTAGTGTCTGATGTGAACAGGCAACAATACGGCGCTGTGTGAGGAGGAATTCCTCAGTGGCAGTGGCAGCCTAGCACTGAGACTCTGAGCAGCTTTGTTATCCAAATGTCAATGCTGAAACACCTTTTGAGTGAGACTGTATCATGTTCACACAGTCTCTAACCATAGGAAACAAAAGTGAAGATGATTGATGTGTGCCTTTGTGTGTCTATTCTACATCTTGCTTTATTAGGGGGAAATATTTGCATTTAAGAGTTATTCAAATAAATATTAATTGAACTGAATATGTTTCTTGTAAATTCTAATATTGGGCAGAAAATGTTAACATTTTAACTTAACACAAAGTATACAGAGCATTTTATATATACTCCTCTTTTTACAGGGTTTTCAGAAGCTGAAGTCGTCAGTATTTTTATAAAGATTTGTTTTTTAAATACAACATTGCAGAGAACAAGTAGGGGGATAGAGAGAAAATGGGGGGAAATAAATAGTTTAATAATGCAGGATGTTTTTAAAGCTTTTTTAAAATTTATTTGTGATGCTGCAGGAACTGAAACCATTGGGGAAACCCAGAGGTAGTCTCATTAAACTGTCCTCATGATGCGTCAACAAACCTTTGGGAATGGATTCAAATGTAGTGTCACTGAGAATAATACAGATCACAAAACCAATCATTTTTGTGGTGATCAGTTACTGCCCCCAAATTGTGGAATCATCTTCCATTAAATATTTTACTATCTTCTTCCACTCTTGCTATTTTTAAATCTAATCTGAAGACCCATTTTTATTCTTTGGCTTCCAGTATTGTTTGAGATGTGAAGTGATGTTGAAAAAAATTACCATTTAAAAAGCCACTCCTCAAGAAAGGCCACATGCAGTCACGACTGAGCTTTGCCAAAATCCACCTTGAAGATTCTGAGGCAGATGAGATTAAAACTGAATGATTGGCCTCAACACCAAACGCTATGTGTGGCGGAAATTGATACTGGATTCTGAAGTTGGAGTTGTTGTGATTCCTCTAAGATTCCGAGTTGGAACTCTGACTGGGGAGGGTGTTCCAGTTAAAAGTTCCTACTGGGAATTTGGAATTTCCAATTCAGAGTACAAATGGAACACAGCATTAGTGCTTACCTGTCACAAACACAAGTCATAGGTCGTGGAAATTCAAAAATTTAAGATTTTGTGAGTATTCATGTTCACAAACGATGTAAATTGACTCATAGACAACTGAAACACGTTAAAATGTTGCATTATATACAGTACATTAAAACTAATTTCCAACCTATTTTTCATCCAAGTCCAGGACGAAAAAGAAAATGGCGGTTGAGCAGAAATTTCTGAGCGGCAAACAAGCTTGTGCATCATGACGTCAAAAAAACTTTTGATGCAGGGTCCTTAAAAGGAAATTATTTGTTGGCTGAAACTGAGATATTTGATTAGATGTGAAGTTGAGATGAATTTCTACGTATTTAAGATGTCCAGTGTGCTGAAATGAACTCCAATTCATAGTAATGTTCACTTAACCCAGGGGTAGGCAAGTTCGGTCCCAGAGAGCCGCAGTCCTGCAGAGCTCAGCTCCAACCCTGAAAAAAAAACTCACCTGCCTATAGCCTTAGTAATCCTGAAGACATTGATTAGCTTGTTCAGGTGTGTTTGATTAGGGTTGGAGCTGAACTCTGCAGGACTGCGGCTCTCTAGGACCGAACTTGCCTACCCCTGACTTAACCAAAGACCCATGCATGGCCACTCATATACTGCAGTTTTGTTTTTCTCTATACACTGACCTCCTGATAAGAGTCATATAACAATTAAAGATAACATAATGGGGAAAAAAATATGCAAGAGGGCACAACTGTAATGTAAACATAAAGAGAGTTGTTACTGATAAGAAAAGCAGGGCAAACAGGAAGTTTGTAATGTTCAGTAGTGATCTATGAATAGTGGAACTGGTCCATGTGGTGATGCAGTCTTATGACTATTTTTTAAGGGTATTTGTGAGGCTGCAGGAACTGAAATCATTGGGGGAAAGCGGTGGTAGCCTTACTAACCTATTCTCACCATGTGTCAGCACATCTTTGGAAATGGTTTTAAATGCAATGTCATTGAGAATAATGGTGATTGTAAGTCAAGGGGAGAACAGGAAAACTGGTCAACAATGAAAGGGTTTTACAATCATTTCTAAACATACATTAGTGTGCTGGAAGTAAAACTAAGCAATACAGAATACAAAATCAATCTTTTCTGTGGTGATGGGGCTTTTTCAGTTACCGCCCCCAAATTGTGGAATGGCCTTCTATTGAATATTTCCTGAGTTTCTTCTACTATTGCTATATTTTTTTATATAATCTGAGAACCCATTTTTTATTCTTTGGCTTCCAATATTATTTGAGGTATGAAGTGATATTGTGTTATTATTATTTAGTGTTTTATTATTATTATACAGCATTGTTGTTTGTAAATGTACTCTGTAAATGTAGCTTTGTCTACTCTGTGGTTTATGTCCAACAGTGATAATGACACAGTCATTGTTAGTTTCGTCTTGAGATGGGATTATTTTTGTCATAAAAGTATGGCAAAAGTATGCCATAAAAGGTACCATTTAAATTTCACATATATACATTTATAAAACTTCAAATGTGACAGATAATTCAGCTTTTTTTTTTTTTTTAGATTCTTGGCACATTCTATCGCCTATATTTGTTTCTGTCCAGTAGATGGCGCTAGTGTTCATATGTTCAGAGACCGCAAACAACACTACCGCTATCTAGTGGATTTGAGTTTTGACCATGGCTGTGTTCGCAGTGGCACACTAGCTTACTGTTTACTGCTTACTGCTCAGTACACAGTGCATGCTGCCTAACTGTTTTTTAAGTGTTGTCACTTGACAAACAAGGAGCATTAATTTAGTTGTATGGTAGTACGCTTTTCCAAATACAGCTTCTGTACTGATTTCAGTGTACTTGAGTTATATTTAGCAGATTCTGGCAAATAAAGTATCATCCAGGTACTCCATGCATACTATGCACAGGACTGGATATTGCAGAAATAGTAAGAGTGGTGTGATAGTATAGCATTTTGAACATAGCACATGTTCTTCATTTGCATTAGGCTGACAGTTTATAAAAATCTAATGCATCAAGTGCAGTTCCCTAATTGTACATTTTGATGAAATTATATCCCTTGTTACTGTCTGAATAATTTTAAAAAAAGTTTAATGTGTTTTATATTTGATGCTCAATCTGTTTTTGACAATTGGCAACCACTTTTAAGGCCAGCAGTATATTACCAGTTGTTGATCATATTTGAAGAAACAAATAATGATGTGCTATATCACATTGACTCGAAAACACATTGGCCAATTAACGAAACTGGACTTTAACTCCAAACCTCGTGAGCTTTATAAATTAATGTTTAAAAATGGCCTTCTTCAGTAAATCTGGGCAACAGCACAGTTCCATGTAAGTCTAGTTTTCATAGCTATATATATCCTTTATACATTCAAATGCATTTTAAGCTAATATCTTAATATTGAATGAATGAGTGAATGAATGAAGGACATGTCAACTAACCTTCCCCCTATCATAATGACAACAATTACCGGAAAACGGATTAAGTGTTTTATATTTGATAAACAACGATCCTTTGGTAATAATAGCCAACCACATAACCAGTGATATTACCAGTAGTTGATCACATTAAATCGGCAAATAAATGAATGAAACGTTGTCAAATGCACCGTTCTTATAATTCCTCCTCTCCAGTGGATGGCGATCTCAAACAGACAATTTGAAAGCGAAGAAACACCGTAAGTACAAAGTAAGTCATTAATTTTGGTAGGATCTTTTACAGAACAATATGTCTATATTACTTGTTTGGAAAAAAAAAGAAAATCCAGAGGAAAAGCCTATTTCAATTCGCATGATTTAAATGCATATTGATACTGTTAATTTATCTTGCAAATGCCATTGTAAAAAAGCTCTGAACACTTCCGTAAACACAAATGCCTTATGTATTTCCTCGCTGGCTGGCTGCAGTCCTCGAGTAAAGGTCAATTGCCTGGAAATCTTATCTTATCAGGATCGAGGGCTGATCGGGTAATTTCCTGTGAGTTTCTGTGCCACTATATAATTCTGTGTCTTGTGATTTTAATACAAATACAACCCCTAAGGCTGGCAAAGTGAAATTTATTATATTTACTGTTTAACTAATGATTTGTTATGTAAAGTAAATGCAAAATCTGTTAGTTATGTAAATGCACATGCATCAGTTATGTCGATCTCTAGATCTGAAATGTTGCTCACTTACAAGACTTGATTATGACAAGACAGGTGTAATAGTATTTGATATACACAGTCTTAAGCTTTCAGTGTAATAATTACTTCTGATATCATGCTTGATTTGAAGGTCATGGCTGAGGTGCAGATTCGTCGCTACCGGGAGGAAGATCATGAAGAAGTAAAGGAGGTTTTTACTCTCGGGATGAGCGAGCACATCCCATCGTCCTGCATGCACGTTCTCAAACAGCCCCTAGCACAGATGTTTCTGGGATGTGTGTTTTGCGCTTTACTGACCAGCTCAAAGTCCATCCTATTGCCTGTACTAGCAGTCACGCTGCTTTTGGCCGCAGGCAGGCAGAGTGTGAGTTACATGTTTACCAAGTACATCCAGACCTGCCTTGAGCAAGATCTCAATCACATTCAGCAGACCTACCTGGATCCACCCAACGCTTGCTTCTGGGTGGCTGAGAGCCAAGGTCGTGTTGTGGGTACAGTATCGTGTTTGCCTGCAGAGAAAGACCAGAACTTCCTGGAACTGAAGCGGATGTCGGTTAAAAAGACTCACCGTGGACAAGGCATTGCCAAAGCACTGTGCCGTATTGTGTCCGACTTTGCTTTTGAACGTGGTTTTCAAGGAGTACTGCTTCACACTTCGGTGGTCCAGACAGATGCTCAGAAGCTCTATGAGCACATGGGCTACCAGAAGGTCAGAGAATTTAGTGCTCCAGAGGCAATTGCCAAGCTGACTAATTTCACATTGATGGAGTACCAGCTCGTCCTCAAACAACATCACAACTGAGGTTGAGATCTCCCAACTTCAGTCAAACCGCCAAGACTTTTTTAACACTGGTTCAGATTACTAATGAAGCACACCACTATCATCGTTTGTCTGTTTCTTCTTTAAATCATTAACCTTGGAAAAAAGGGAACCATTTTTATATATACTGTTCAAATAAGAAAAAAAAATCTGATTTGGGATTGTTCACCCAAAAATTAAAATTCTGTCATTAATCACCTTCATGTCATTCCAAACTTGTGACTTTAGCTATTTTTAATGAAACCTAAGAGGTTTCTGTCCCTCCACTGAACGTCCAGGTAACCTAGAAGATCCAAAAAGATCATAAAGATGAACAAATTCAATTTAGGCTTTTATTTACATCTAAACAATGATCAACAAACATACACAGAGCACATCACATATGGTAAACATGAAAGCTCAAATGTGCATGCATGATACGCGAGAACTGGTGAGGTTTGTTCTAGCGTGTGATGCATGCACAAGCTTGCTGTGTTTGCCGTATGTGATGTGCTTGATGCATGTGTGTTTATACATTATGTGAATAAAAGCCTAAATTCATCATATAAAGTGATCATATCTCTTCAAAAGATAACCACTCAATTCATACTGATTTGTTTTCTGACACCTGTATGACCTTTTTGGATCTTTCATTAAAAATCTCGGTAACACTTTTCAATAAGGTTCATTAGGTAACATTAGTTAACTACTTTAGTTAACATGAACTAAGCATGAACAATGCTTCTACAGAATTTATTAATCTTAGCTATAATGTTCATTTCAACATTTACAAATGCATTATTATAGGTTAATTAATGCACTGTGAATTAACATGAACTAACAATGAACAACTGTATTTTCATTAACTAACATTAATACAAATTAATAAATGCTGTAATGTATTGTTCATTGTTTGTTCATGCTAGTTAATACATGAACTAATATTAACTAATGGAACCTTGTTTTAAAGTGTTAAAATATCTTAATTTGTGTTTTGAAGATTAACCAATGTTCCATATGCTTTGGAATGACATGATGATGAGTAAATAATGACAGAATATAAAATTTTTTGGCTGAATTATCCATATAGCAACCTTGAATAAAAGCGAAACAAGGTGTCCAGATCTTGTCTAAGCTTCATTAATGTACCTGTCAGAATGTTCTCCACTGAATATTTACCAGAAGCATTTAAGGGACGTGTACTTGAAGAAGATGATGTAGAGTCTGTAGTCCTTAAGATCATTTCATGGTGTTTAAGATCATTTCTATTTATTTATACATAGCCTATCCACTTCTATGACTCAGTAAAGCTTATTAACAAAATAACAGAATCATTTCTCGTATACTATGCATTTGACTTTTTTTCTATTATTTTAATTTCTTTTAATTTTTTAATTTATGAAAGATGTGATTGTCCTGTAACTGAATGTTAAAATGACTTGAAGCATCTGGATAAAGTGATTTGTTCTAAAAAATAAACAAATGTAATTTGTTGTAATAACATAAATCAATAAAAACATTTATAAATGAACCGTTTTCAACAGCTATTCTGAGTTGGATTTATCATCTGGACCTGTTTTGTGTTTGGGTTTGATTAGCTCTGTGAGCAACATCAGTGGTCTGAAATTGCAAAGATCATGTGATTCCATTCGGGAAGTTTCACACTCAGTTCTCTGAGCTGAAAAAGCATCTTTTGATGTAGTTCAAATATGTAATTTTTAATTATTATTAAACTATACTATAATAGTAATATAATAAAAAATATTTTTGGGCAGCATTTTGCACATATGTCATCTGTTTGCACCTATAACTGTATTGAAGCAAGTTTGGTAACTTTTATGTTTCTGTCTGATAGGTCTGGGCTGTGAATAACAGTTCAAGCAAGAGAAGCCTGTATAACGGTAAGCTTTTAAACAATCTACTTGACATAACGCTGTGTTTTGTTATGCATTTGGGTGCATTGACTTTAAAAAGCTAATAGCTTTCTAAAACTTTAACAGAATAAGAAGGCACTTTCTTGCCTTTATTGTAATATCTTGTTTGCTTTCCTCACAGTTCCATTTTAAAGGGGTCATATGATGCGATTTCAAGTTTTCCTTTCTCTTTGGAGTGTTACAAGCTGTTCGTGAATAGATAAGATCCCTGAAGTTGCAAAGACTAAAGTCTCAAAACCAAAGAGATATTCTTTATCAAAGTTAAGACTCTGCCACACCCCCCTAAAACGGCTCGTTCTAACACGCCCCCACATATCTAGGTCACTATGTGGGAATATTTGCACAATGCGCCCAAATGTGCTCAGTCCTAAAGCCTCAATGTTGTGGTATCAGATCCGTGAGTATCGGGATGCAGATTACTGAGCTGTGAGGACGATATACTCCACTGGGTTCAGAGAGCATGTTGGAATTGTGTATCTTCTGGCCCTGAAGCAACCATGGATTCAAGCTATGCTGTGTGGAGTCTTCCTTCTCATCCATATCCTCTCTGGCTCCATCCTGACCGGCATTTTGGGTGTGGGAGGGGTTATGCTGGCTGTTCGGATGTCAGTGCAGTATATTTTTGAGCAGGGTATTCAGCTTGGGTTTAGAGAGGATCTGTTGGACATCAGGAACTCCTACATGCAGCCTGGAAGTAGGAGCTGCTTTTGGGTTGCAGAACTGAAAGGGTCTATTGTCGGGACGGTGGGCATTTTGCCCTGTGTAGAGGAGCCAGGTGCTTGGGAACTGAAAAGGATCTCTGTGAAAAAGGAGTTTCGGGGTCGTGGCCTTGGGAAAGCACTTTGTAAAACTGCTTTTGAATTTGTTGCCAGGCATAATGTTAAGAGAGTGGTGCTTTTCACCTCTATGGTCCAAACTGATGCTCATAAGCTGTATGACAGCATCGGGTTTAAAAAGGAGGAGGAGTTTGTGTGGCCATCACCTCCTGCCAGGCTGATCAATTTCATGGTGTTTAAATATGCACACAGAAATGGTGGTGTCATGACATGCTAAAAAAAATAGTAAAAAGTTGCATTCATCTGTCAAGATCCCTTTGGAGGAAAAACATTTTTTAAATTTTATTTGAAATAAATAATTATTTTATTTTATTGACAAAATATTTTAGTTTGTCTTGTATATTTTTTTCATTAGATCAGATAACATTTTAAGCTGTTATATGGTCATGTTACAACGTGCCCCTCAGATGTTACAGTGTACCTCACCTACGGGGCAAGTTGTCACATTTCACTTCCAATTTTTGAGGGTAAATATAGAAAAACGTATACACTGCAATTATGAAACAAAGCGACATATTTGTACTAGACAAGTGTGAAATTACTGTGGATAAAAAAATTATACTCTGAACCCCATGTGGATTTACACAATTTGAGAAAGTCAAAAAGTGTTACTTTGTGCCCCGCTCTCCCCTACTCCAGTCCAGTCCATTAATTAATGTCTAGTGAAGCAAAAAGCTGTGTTTGAATTAAACAAGTCAAAACGTGTTTAGCTTCACACAGTTGTTTCCGGCAAAAATACGAGTCCTCTATGCATAATATTGCTTTCATTTGCAAACTCGCAACTTGGACTCGAGTCGTGGATTTACTTGTGGATTATTGTAATGCTTCTATCAATTTTTAATCAATATTATTTAATGCGGGTGAGTAAATTTTCATTTTTAGGAACTATTCGTTTAATTTATACAATTAATTAGAGACAATTAATTAGCTAGAGTCCTAGCTGTTCCTGTTGCAGGCAGGCTGCTTAATCAGGATTTTAAACGGTAGCTATTTAGATATGTCATCAATTTGGTCAAGCAACCTTATACTGACTCAGACGTTTCAGACTCTATTTTGTACCCTTTTCGAGGTAAGTGCCAAAACACCCCATAATGTCCCATTGTATCCAGTGAGTCGCGCGCGGGCGGTGTGTGTGTGTGTGTGACGTAGCGCTCCTCAGGAAGTAGCTGTCACATCCACATTGTACGGGAATACCATAGACTGTAAAAAAAAGAGAATAGACCTACACAGACAGCACGCTTAGTAAGAACAGCATCAAAAACATCACGGTAAGTTCAAATGCATGGTTTGAATTAAAGTGCATGAAAGAACAGTTCAATGACCTCACACACTCCATTTCCCCCCCGATTGTATTTACTAATTCTCAGTTGAGGGATGTAAGGGCTGTAGTATAAATAGGCGGTGGCTGATCGATGAGAGGATTGATGGGCTGCTGGCGATGCGTTCAGCCTCCCCTTGAATTAATTGTTTTTACTATTCACTGCTACAGCATTTACCTAAATTACTGTAAAGACTATCGTTCTGTAATATTTATTTTGTTATTTATTGATTCATGTGGGGGGAGGAAACAGACGGACCAGGCTGGCAGGTGCATCATCAGTTGATCATCACTGCACAGGAATAAGCAAATGTGCATAATCACACTGCTTTCATAACTCTTGTATACAATAGGTAATTCATTAATTATTTGTGCTCAGTGTCATTAAGGGTATCTCCAAAAAAATACTATTTTATCTAATACCTTCAATAAATAAGGATTTACAACAAATTAATCTGTATACAATTGTATATTATTTACATGTGAACAAATTGTGAAATGTTTACACATATATTTACTGTATATTACATTATATTATATTATACATGTTTACTTAGCTATGTGAACAAATTATAGATACACACCCACACACACACACACATATATATATTTATATGTATATATACATTAGACACATTATTACAATAAAATATAATGGAAAGTCTCACACTAGTGTGAAGTGATAATTAAGCTAAAACAGCTTTTATAAGTGGATACTCCATGTTTTTCTTCTTATATTGTTATTCTGTTTATCCTCTCTGTTCCTATATTGTATTTTCTGCATTTCCTAGCATTCAAACCTCGAATGTGCCCTGTTGATTCCTTGCCTGATAGATTGTAACGCTGTGTATGACTGATACAGATGAGAGGCACTGTTTCATGAAGTGGTCAGAGGAGAGCAGCTGTCATTGTGTGATTTATTTGTGCATTGTCTGAATGTCTGCTCAGACTGACCCACAGTTGCTTACTGGTTTTTGTGAGCACAATGTTTTCAGCTGTGCAACTGTCCCTTCTAACTGTATAACAGTGAACAGTGAGTGTGTAGCAAACATCAGCATTTGCTTTCTGTACAGAATGTATAATACAGAAATAAGCCCCGGGGATTCAGTGCTGTTGTAGTTTATAAAGAGCGTTAATCCTGTCATTGCGTATGTGTGTTTGTTTGTCAGTCTGTCAAGACTGTGCGCACTTCTCCTCACTGAACTCGCTCTTCATGTTCAGCTTCATATTGGAAGCTTCGTCACATTCAAATAGGCCTGGAGAGAAACAGAGAGGCTGAATAGAGAGCCAGTCTTAAAGAGACCTGCTGCCTTAAACATTGTCTTATATGCTAAGCATGTGAACATTTGTGTGTGAATGTTGTTTCTGAACAAAAACATTCTGGACCAGGGAACCACAGTAAAAAGAGTGTGGTTAAACCAGTGATCATCTCCGTACATGGCCTTTAGTAATCCAGTGATTAATATGTAAAGTATAATGTACCGTCAGCTGGTTATTATCACAAATCCCAACAGTGTAATCAGGACTCTCTTGTATCACCCTGAAGGTGTTTATATTTTGCAATAATGATGTACATTATTGCAAGTTTTACATTGTTACTTACCACATAAATAAATAAATGGACATAAATATTTATTTGAGTTTAAATTATTCTATTATGTGAGAATATCTGCCTGTTGTGATGCTCAGTTATACAGTTTAGCGTCATTATGCAAGAATATTTTATAGCAAAATGTTGCCATTTTGCCATCAGTCAAATATTTCAGAGCTATATAACAATCATTTAACATAATTTGATAATAATAATTTAATATATAATATATAATCGAAATGCTAAAAAATAATTAAACACAGTCACCTGTTTCAGTGCTGTAATAAACAAAAATGCAATTTATTTAATGTATGAAAGGGTCATAGAATATAACGTGATAATAAATAAGATTATTTTTGTAACTATGGGCTGATTTAATTTGCTTTTGACTACCATTTTAACTATAGCTATTAGCTGCACCAATGTTATTTAGTATTCATTTTATACTAGTATTAACTAGAATTAAGTTTTAGTGCTTTTGTCATTTTTTCCTATTTAGCTTCAATTTATTTTTATTTCAGCTTTAGTTAATAACAATACTGAGCTGTACTGTAAATTTAAAAAATGTGTTCATCCTCTGTTATTAGGCCTTTATAGTACTGTATGTCTATGTGAGAAGACTGGGAGAAAGGCCTTTGTTGTTTTTTAATCACTCAGAGAGTACATTTACATGTTAATATAATTTTGATGATTATTCAGTGTTGGAGGGCTTTAGGACCCAGTTCTGCTTCTTTTGCTCTCCTGCAGAAGGCAGCGCAGACATTAGCGCAGTTGCACTGCTCTCACACACTCACCTACCAACACAGATCAGTCAGACCGAATCACACACACACACACACACCTCTCACTCCAACTCAATCTAATGCTGGGATCCTTCTGACAGTTCACATGTTAGCGGGTTCATCTGAGCTCAGACATCCAGTAGGACCTCCTCTGGTGTCTTTCCCTGTGTCCCCTCTGGGGTTCAGTCTGTGCCTCTGCTGGAGCTGGACCAAAACGCACATCTCTGATACTCATCGTATGGACAAAGGCTTGAGTGATGAGAGTTAGGTGGAGATAGAGAAAGACAGACAGAGAGATAGAGAGACAGTGGGTTGGGGGGTTGAAAAGCCTTTGCTGGTTGCTGAAGCAAGGCAAGGAACCGTTGTCAACGGCGACGCAGGAGCAGCATGTCTCAAATGAAACGATACACTTACAGCAGGGTGAGTGACATACGGTGGACATACTTTCTGTTTCCGTCTGCCGCCGTACATGTGAATACATGCATGTTTTTACTTGTATTAAAGTAGAATTAGTGTGCAGTTGTGTATGATGCTGTGCAGGTGTTGTAGCATGTGTCAGGCGAGAGGACAGACAGAGAGATAGAGAGACAGTGGGTTGGGGGATTGAAAAGCCTGTGCTGGTTGCTGAAGCAAGGCAAGGAACCGTTGTCAACGGCGACGCAGGAGCAGCATGTCTCAAATGAAACGATACACTTACAGCAGGGTGAGTGACATACAGTGGACACACTTTCTGTTTCTGTCTGCCACCCTACATGTGAATACATGCAAATTTTTAATTGTATTAAAGTAGAATTAGTGTGTTGTGTATGATGCTGTGAGTGTGGACATGCAGGTGTTGTAGCATGTGTCAGGCGAGAGTCAGTCTTCTGGAATTTGTAAGGTTCAGCTTTTAGCTAAAATGCATTTGCTTGTGTAATAACTCCTACAATCAATTGCAGTGTGTTTTTGTATGTATGAGGCCGTTTTTACTGCAGGACAGTAATGGAGCGATGCCATTTTTGACACAGTTGCTGAGTAACACATAAAAAAAATCACAAAACACAGATTAATGTGATACATTTTGATGTTCATTACTAGTTTTTCATACTAGTTTTGCTTTTTTCCCTTTATTCGATTGTCTGCACTGTATGTCATGTTATTTATGGACTAAAAGCGTTTTGTAAAATCATTTTAAATATGATTCTGTTAAAGGGTCCACCCAAAAATGAAAATTCTGTCATCATTTACCGTCATGACTTTCCAAATCTGTACGACTTTCTTTGGACAAAAATGGAAGTCAATACTCTTTGGTTACCAACATTCTTCAAAATATTTTCTTGTGTGTTCTGCATTCAAAAGTCATACAGATTTGGAACAACAAGACGGTGAGTAAATGTTGACAAAATTTTCATTTTAGTGTGGATTATCCCTTTTAACTTGACTACAGCCCAAATCCTATTTTTAACAAACTGAATCAAAGCCTTTAGCTCAACATAAGTCTTATTTCAAACCCGGTTAAATGTAGTAATAACTTTCTGGCTAGATCTCCAGACATAAATCTTACGCCCTTTTCCAGTATAAAACATTAGACAGCGCTACTATGAACATAAAACACCAGTTTAAATGGACTGTTAGTGAATATAGTGATGCATCCCCCACAAGGATAGTAAAACCAGAAATCATATATATTATTGTGCAGCCAATAGCTCCCCATGAGGAAAACAGATTAATAAACATATGGCAGAGATGTAATCTAAAAATGCAAAAAGGTTTTTGTGAGGGTTAGTTTTAGGGTTAGAGGATTCAGTATAATAGTTTAGTATAAAAAAATAAAAGTCAAGAAGTTAAAGTTCCCACCATGATAAAAAAATAAACGTATAAGTGTTTTTAATTATTCGTGTGAACTTATTCCCTGAAAATTTTTGTGGATTTTAAGAGCTCTTATAAGAGGTTAACTACTCAGATGTACGCCTATATAAAATATCGACATGCTTTCACATTTATTTGAAAGCAAATGGACAAGGATTTGATGGAGAACATATAATTCATTAAAAAACCTAAAGTACATCAGGCATTAGTAAGGCAAATCTCCTCAAAACATAGACACTTTATGTCTAGCACATGACTCACACATGGGAAAAGCTCTGCCATTTAAGCTTCAAGTTCGCAGGGAACTTAAAATTATTCAAATTCTTCGGTTTCACTTTTTAACAAGCTCCACAAGATCCATATCAATGAAGACATTCCTAAACCCACAGTTTTACTGTGTACTAACACAGTTAGTGACTTAATTCTGCTGAGTCACAAGTCAGTTTTCAGTAACTCCCCTGTCCTGCATGTGCACATGACGTATTCTTCAGCTGAATTTAGAACTGGCCAGTAACTATCTCTGCAATGAATGAATATGTCACGCTTCAGTGAGCTGCTGCCAGTCCATGCACAGCTCTCTGTTTTTGAGTTGCAGGAGAGGTCACATCTATCACTTCTGTTCTCTTTCTTTTGTTCCATTGTAACCTAATAATGTTCCCGACTCTTCAGAGCGTTTAGAGTTTATATTAGAGTCAGCAAGAATAATAAATAACACCGCAGATATTATGCCTTATCTTGTTATCTTTATGTGACCAGTACTTATTTTTAGTATACAGTAAGTTTCAGAAATAAAACTCATTTTGGACCCCAGGCTCTGTGTGATTAGAGAGAATTTAAATGACTAAATGGAAGTGAAATGGAGCAGGTTTCTCAGGATCAGCTGGTGTGTGTGTGTGTGTGTTTGAGAGAGAGAGAGAGAGTGAGTTCCTGCACACTGTGACTGCAGGTAACAGTGATGTCTTCTGCAGTAAAGATTAGGGCTGCGTCACAAACTTTTTCAGCCATGAGCTCTGGTCTGAGTGCTCCTAAATAACCCTCAATTGTCCTCTTAGACATATAATCTGGAGGGCGTGAGAGACTTGTTCAGAGACCTAATGAGGAGCCTGCAAATGGTTTCAACTCCCCCAGATTGTCTAGTCACAGTGTGGTTTTAAATTTATTCCACAAAATGTCTGAATGTCATTGCATTTGATAAATTATACAGTTGGTCCGAATCTGACTGGCTGAGTGGCATTGCAAATGTGCTGAAATACAGTGCAACATCACCGGCACAATTGACAGTTTGAATCACTCCACTTGTCTGTGTTTGCGCGTTGTATGCTGTCCGAATTTTTCAGTGACTTTCTGCAAGCTGATTCACTCTTTCAGCATTGAATCATTCCAATTCATTCTTTCTGGAATTAAAGTAAGCTGCCTTTATTATTAGTCATTGAATCGTTCATTCAACCGATTTGTTCAAAAACACAGAATTAATCAGGATCAAACACACGAATATTGGTTCTGATTTGGCTTTGTTTGAATCTACTTTTGCTGGCAAAGTAAAAACAGAAAAAGAAACTGACAATATTGTGTATTAAATGTAATTGTTTAACTGTTCTAATAACTTAATATGGAAGTAATGTATTTTTATTTATTTATTCATTTAAATAAATGGCAATATCTATATGCAAAAAGGTATAGCTAAAGTGTCTAAATACTTTCTAGGGCCACTGTATGTCAAATCATAAACCTTTCATCAATCTACTATTTTCTTGATATAATCAAAAGCTCTTTTTGTCATTTAAGGGTTTTTCTCTCTTGTCCTCAGACCACCAGCAGCGGCAGCAGCAGGATGAGTTCAGATGGCGGTGGGCGGCCTGTTAAGGTGGGCTCTCTGGTTGAGGTCATTGGTAAAGGTCATCGAGGCACCGTGGCATATATTGGAAACACCCTCTTTGCCTCTGGAAAATGGGTGGGCGTCATTCTAGAGGAACCTAAAGGCAAGAACGATGGCACTGTGCAGGGTAAACGATATTTCACCTGTCAGGAGAACCATGGGATATTTGTACGCCAATCACAGGTACTCCCATGTATGCTTGCTCATACAAACACTGAGAGGTGAAAACATGTACATGTTCTTCTGTTGAGTTCTTAGAAACTGCTGGGATCTCTTGCAGATTCAGTTAGTAGAAGATGGGGCCGACACGACATCTCCTGACACACCTGAAGCTGCCACCTCCAAAATGCTGAAGCGGGGTAGGCAAACAGTTTTAGGCACATATCAGCTTGCAGCCATATTTTGTTTCTCATGAAATTGTAATGATCTCATTTTATTTTTTATTTTCTCAGAGATAATTGAAGGTCCAAAGTCAAACAAAGTGGTGAGTGAGGAAAGGGGTTTCAACATAACGAATATGTTCTTGCATTGGTACTTGTGCACCGTGTTTCTGTGAGACTGTGTGTATATTCATGACTTTTTTTTCCTATACAAACACAAGTGGCCTTTTGAAGAGGTCTTTAGTCTCGCTTAGCAAGACGTTTGCAGCTTATTCTGGCCAAGAACCACCCACTCAGACAGGAAAGGTCAGTCTGACCAATCTCAAAAAAGCCACCAATAATAGTTTGATTTTTAAAATGCCACATATAGAGACGAGTTTATTTGAAATTGTTGATACCACAATGATAGACTGTTCTGTCACTGGCTGTACTGAAAACACCAGAGAATCTATCAGAAATGTGTGTAATTAGAATTTCTGAATAAATACATAATATTATTTAAAGCAAAGCATAATACTCAGTTCTTCTAGTGAATATGTAGTTTACTTGCTAGTGAACGGCTCAAAAGAAACTCTGAATTTCTTTGGTAAAAAAAATTGATGCCAGTATTCTAGAAAGCGTTGGCATATCCAATTATTATTTCTTCCTTGGAGGTTCATTGTTGTCACTTAAATTTGCAGGGCATAGGAACAAGTTTTTAATGCATTGGACCCTTAAGCCCATTGTGTAGGCTCTTAGTGACAGCCAATCAAATTAGAGCTGTCTATTTCAGCTATCTCTTCCCATGTTTGTGTGTAATATACATTGGACAGTCTGTGCTTGGACTTGTGAGTATGTCATCTGAGGCTACTTCACATTAAAAGTATTGCGTATTACCTCTCCTTTCCAGCAGAGGGGGATATAGTAACACTCTCTGGCCATGATACTGCTCATCCTGTATCTGTGTCTGTAAAAGTGAACCATGTTTCTGATTCCCTTCTGATTTCACCTCTTACATGAATTTAACAAGCACGTATTCGCACTTTGTAAATCCTCCCAACCAAAAAATACATACTATATTGCATGAACACACATGTAGTCTTCTCTTGTCCCTTGTGAAAAAGAAGTGTGCATAATTGTATTGAATGTGCACTTGTGGTGTAAAAAAAAAAAAACTGGACTTGCAGGTAATACACTAGTCCACTTAAGTGTACTTAAAGAGAGTACACTTTCATGACTATGTTTCTTAACACACTTAAGTACACATAAAATGTGCATTTGGTAGATTTACTTAATTTTAAATCATTATATTTCAATAATCTTTTGTCATGCTTTAAAGAAATACACTTATTTTGTTGTGTTGACTAACATACTAAAACACATTAAGCACAACTGTAGTGTGTTATTTGATATTACATTTAAAGATTATACATTTTAAATGTACTAAATTTCAACTTCATCATTACAAATGTGTAATTACAAATATATTTTAATACATGTCATGCAAGTTTCAGTAGAAACAACATTAAAGTATATTTTAGTTTACCATAAGTGCTTGTCAGTACATTCAATGGTACACTTTAACCATAATTCAAAGACAAAATAAGTAATAATTATGAAATTACACATAAAGCTGTACTTAAATCCAACTTAAATGGGTCAAAAACACTCTTAAGTTGCATTTAATATAAATATAATACATCTTCATTTAATTGTAAAAAAAACAAGCAATTAGGTGTCTGAAAACATTACATTCAGTTTGCACTTAAATATTTTATTTCTGCAATAAGTACTATTTTTAAAAATATGCTAAAGTGTGCTTATTTTTCACAAGGGATCCTAAATCTACACTCACTAATACAAACATGCATGAGGCCAAACTGTTTTTGTCACAGGCATTTTATAAAGTCTCTGTCTAAGATGCAAAAAGATTATCGCTCTGTTTATGTGGGAGTCTTGGTGTGTTTGTATGTGAGAGACATTCAAGCACATTACAAACACACTGACTGATCAAACTTTAATCTGTCACCTCTTCCTCCTCCGTCTGAGCGTGCAGCGAGGAACCAAACCCAGAAAGGTGCTGCATGTTTCTCTAACCTCTGTTTCCATAGCAATGGCAATATTGAACAGCTCTGCTGCATGGCATCACACAAACTGCACATTACCTGTGTGTGTGTGTGTGTGTGCATCAAGAGTGTTTGTTTCTATATTGTTTCTGTTAATTTTATGTACAATTATTCATGTGTGCTAGTGCTTTGCCAGCTGGATGACAGTGTTCTTTGATGAATGACTGCTTTTAAATGGATATTATGAATTAGCATGCTTAAAAATATGCTAAAGTGTGCTTAATCTGTCACCTCTTCCTCCTCCGTCTGAGCGTGCAGCGAGGAACCAAACCCAGAAAGGTGCTGCATGTTTCTCTAACCTCTGTTTCCATAGCAATGGCAATATTGAACAGCTCTGCTGCATGGCATCACACAAACTGCACATTACCTGTGTGTGTGTGTGTGTGTGCATCAAGAGTGTTTGTTTCTATATTGTTTCTGTTAATTTTATGTACAATTATTCATGTGTGCTAGTGCTTTGCCAGCTGGATGACAGTGTTCTTTGATGAATGACTGCTTTTAAATGGATATTATGAATTAGCATGCTGATTATGACGTGTTTATGTGTATGAGACAGTCCTAGTGAACGTGTGAGTGAAAGAGATTTGACTTAATATTTTACAGTATATAGTGCTTTTAGTCTGTTCAAGTTTGGTGTTCCCCATTACTTTGTTACTGAGATTGCAGATTCCTTGAAAAACGTTTTAAAAATTAGTTGTAGTCAGTGTGATTTTAATTAATATGCATTATTTTATAAATTCTTAAAGGTTTTAATGCACATTTCTTTCTTTATGTGAAGGCTGCACATGTACATGGATCATAGTCATTTATCTGATAAATTGGAGGTAAAGATAGATATGAAAGTCAATTTGAATCACTACATATTTATCTTTGTTCATCCTCACTTATATACATTTCAAAACAAATATTAACACTAGTATTTTCTATGGATATACAATTAATAAAAAAAAAAGGCTGAGACCACATAGTCAATCTGAGCTTCAACATGTAATTTACACCTAGAAATAAACAAAGTTTTAGAATTTTGAAGGCAAATAAATATGATGTAAAATGTTTAAAAATGTAAGACTGTGTATAAGAATATGAATGATGATGCAGTATTTTTACATCACTAAATTATGGTAAATTTGAGGGGGGAAAAAATCCTGTACACATCCTGTACAAGTTTGTGTGGGGCTATGACATAAGACTATGTTTGATGAAAGACTGAGCGTTTCTTTCCCCCTGAGACAAACCTGGTACTGCAGCCTGGCTTGGCATTAGATGTCTTGTCATTAGATCACCACTGAAATATTGGACTTGAAAGCTGTGTGTGCGCATCCCAGCATTTTCTTCTAAATGTCAGTGCTTGGGGTAATGCTATTTAGGAGGTTATCTAGTTCAGGCTGTCAGTATGAATTGTTTGGAGCTCTTGCCCTGAGGTTGAAAGTATAAATGGGCATTAATGGAGAAGAAGACCTGTGTTTAACTGTCTTAAAACTTTGATTCCTTTCACATCAGAAAACAGTGGTAACATAAATAAATTTAGCATGAATTTGATAATAGAAACAAAGATTGGTCAATGGGTTTGTTTACGCCATCACAGTGCGTTAAGCTTTTACTAGCTGCTTTTTACAAATTTTAATACATTAGTACAAGTTAATTAATCTTAACCCATGGATTAATCCATGGTGGATCCATTGTGTTGAAATCACAATCCAAAATTATAAATAAAACAACATAAAAAATTTGAAAACATTTTACCTTTAAGGGGTACAATGTCTATTGTCTTGTCACTGGTGCAGTGCACCCTCGACTCTCAGAAAGAACTAAACCTTTTTTACCACTACAAAGTTCATAGTAGCACCCTGAGGGTATATTACTACTCTAAAGTACTAATATGTATCTATTGGGGGTAGATAAGGTACAAAGTTGTAAGTTACAAAGTTAACCAGAGACAAGTTGTTGTACTACTAAAGCCCTAAATAATTTTTTTGCATCATATATTTTTCGTGTCATATTTCCATCATATATTTTTCCTAAACAATATCATTATATTTGTAAAAAGTTTGGTGGCTTTAATTTTTTTTTATATAATAGCATTATTTTTTTTTAAATGTTAGTATTACATTTAAAAAATAGCGTATTTAAAAAGTTTAACATTATCTATCTATCTATCTATCTATCTATC